ACAATTTCTTTATACCAGCTAAAATAATGAGTTTACTGTATTAAATGACACAATTGGTGGCAATTCTGAAAATTTACTCATTAAAGTACTGATTACATTGGAATTTGATCGGTATTAATAAGGAACTTCTAGCTAAATTGATTTTATCGAGACGCCAGCTTCGCTGATGCGTCTCATCCGTCGGTTTGCCCCACCGAACATTCATCTTGTTATATAAGATTCGGCTTCTTCTATTGACTCATCACTCATGGAAAGTTCCGGTGCATGGCCCTCTGACACCCGAGGCATGCACATCTAGTGGCATTGGATGAGCATCACGACTAACTTCATCGAAGACACTCCTTCACATCCCCTCTCTCCTTCCTTAATCAGTCCAAAATTTGTTCAGGAGCTTATCCAGTTCTGCTGGACGCTAACTATATTTTAGCCTTAACTCACTCTTGCACATCTTTGCCCAACACAGATTTCTACCCAAAGTCAAAATAGTATCTGCTTCCTCCTTTAAAAGAGAAGATAAGATCATTTCTCTTCGTCTATATAGAATCCTCGTATACCACTCCTCAATGACCCGTTCCTTTTCGATAAGGCACCAATTAGAAGATGGTCTAGGAGCTATAATGCAAAATTGCTCAACGTTTGCTCTTTCGTGATAGAACTCTGTCCATTTGGTGAAGCACCACTAGAAAAAATATAATTAAAGTGAGGATTTCATTAAAATAGGCAAAGCAAAGCCATGCTCATCAGGTGAAGTGAAGGTTGCTACAGTAAAAGCAAATTTCAAAAAGCATATTCAGGAGCGTTACAAACTTTAGAAATTTTATTTTCAAAGGTGACCTAATGTTCTGGATGATGGTGACCACAATATACAATGTGTACTTTTATGCAAATGAATACTCGCCATGCATGAATGGTGCAGACAAATGCTTGAGCACATGGGATACCTTGATTGAAAAGACCAATGCAAGTGCCCGGGACAGAGGGACAGAGGATAGTCCTGAAGTTCGGACGCCAGTCGCTAGGAGGGAATTGTAAGTGGTGGTGGAAGAACAATGGAAGAGCAATTGAAGATGGAGAATGAGGAAGTAAAGCACAAGGCCATTTGATCTGGTATTCAGAACAACACAACCAAAGGGAAATGTATGGAGGGGTGAAATTGGGCGCAACACAGAAGCTAGGGTCCTAAATGAAGGCAGTTGCGGTGTCATAAACGAAGATTGAAACACTTGGCGAGGCTTTTATGCGTGACTAATCGAAAGCACATGTAAGAACTGATCTGCTAGAGGGAAAGGATACAGATGAATCTCATCCAGGTTCATAAAGTTAATGTATAAAAGCTGGTCTAGTTAGACATACACCACGAAACGTTCAGCTCACAGACCGTGCAAGGATAAACCAAATCTCAAGAAAATGAGAAGGAAACTAAATAAAAGAGCAAAATAGGACGACTCTGAGAGCAATTATAACTGAAATGAAGAGTGAGAATTAAGGCAATAAACAAGAGTCAGGACCATAAAAACCAAGTATGAATCAATGAAGATAGAGGCCGAAACGAGCCATAAGAAAATCACGTAAATAGTAGATAAATTAGGCGAAAAAGATTAAAAATTCAATGGGTCGTAGAAAAATATAAAAAAAATGCTACATTTTAGACAAGTGTTCCTGGCCAGGACAGTATGTGAAGCATGACGTCACCGGAAAGTTGCTTAAGCCGATCAACCACCTCGTCGTGAGAAAGACCAGCCAGGGATCGTCGATTTACGGCAAGAATAAAGTCGCCACATCTGCAATAAAAGGAAGATGAGTGATATTAAAATGCCGACAGGTACCAAACTGAAAAATCAACCTCAATCACACTGACTATTGTGTTGGCACTCATTACGCCAATCTAACCTCTCTCTTGCTTGTACCCTACTAGGTACCTTTTCCTTAGTTAAAAACAGCAACAAGGGGCTCTAGGTCAGACAAGATTCCCTATAGGCAACACATTCGAATCGCATTATCGCTCCTCACACTCTAAAACCATCATGGTGGCGTCTGGTTTGGGCCAGTTGCCAGTGGAAAATCCCGACGCTGGACTTTCTGGAATCAAGGGACCCTTAGAGATGTCATGTCTCAAGGAGTTATTTTATCCCTAATAGAAATTCCGATTCAGCAGCTCTTCCCTTAAGGTTTTAATTTCATACTTTACTAACTAGTACTTTATTGGCACTAACTAACCCGCAGTACTAACATCTGGAAGTCAGATTTACCTTGTAAGGAACAGTTTTCATATTTTAGGCTTTCGGCTTCCTTAGATAGTTAGGCTTTGTACAGAAATTAAGGAAAAATCTTCGTTAGCTGCGATTTTTTTAAGGTATTGTAGGCCTTAGCTGCAGATAGAGGAATTAGCTAGCAAAGAAGTCAGTAAGATGTTTTCATGGGGGTGGGGGTATAAATAAAAAATCCGGCAAATAATACGAGTGATAAAGTTCGACCTGGACGGCCAAAAATGGGTATAAATAGCCTTAATCCTAGGTGCGGTCAATGGAAGTGGTCTGATCTAATAAAATTCATGGTGGGATAAAACGCGAAGAGGACACGTTTTCTTCACTTTGGTGGCTATGCTAAATTTTTTACAGCAAAAGAGAAAATATAAAAATGGCACAAGTGGTAACTTACTTTAGTCGGCCGTCACGATGAGCAAGGGATCCAGGAACAATCGACTTTATGATGACTGGCCAGAGAGAAGAGGAGCTTTGCTCCTTACACAAGGTGGTTTCATCATTATTTGATACTAATACAGGATAACGAAGCTGGAAAGAATGTGAGAAAATAAAGCAGATGCATATAAAAGCAAAATAAAAACATTATTCCACTTTAATTCGTTTCCAGTATCGGCAAGTTTTCCTCGATAGGTATCTGGAATGCTGT